TGTGTGTGGTGTGTGTGTGTGTGGTGTGTATAATATATATATAATATAATTATATTAATATCTTGATATTTGTGATGCAATCGTAATGTATATGTATATATATATATATAATATAATATATTATATATATATATATATATATAGATACATATATACATATAGAGTAAGATATGTATGTACTGGGTATTAATATATATATATAGTATTATATATAGTTTAAATATTATATATATACATATATATATATATATTATAATATATATATATATAGTGTGTGGTGTGTGTGTGTGTTGGTTGGTGTGTGTGTGTGTGTGTGTGTGTAGTGTGTGGTGTGTGTGTGTGTGTGGTGGTGTGTGTGTGNAGCAGGGAAACGACATCCGACTTGCCCCTAAAACCACAAAGCAGGGAAGCGACATCCGACTTGCCCCTAAAACCAGAAAGCAGGGAAGCGACATCCGACTTGCCCCTAAAACCAGAAAGCAGGGAGACGACATCCGACTTGCCCCTAAAACCAGAGAGCAGGGAGCGCTGTCCGAGCCCAAGCGATGCCAGCCAGACGGTGCCAGACTCAGGTGTCAGGTGTCATCCGAGAGTTTTTCCTCTCGCCGTCTCCCTCTTCTCGCTTGCTTTATTGTAGTTTATACTCCGTTTCCCCTCTCTTGTTCCCTTCTCGTGCGTCACGTCCTATCTCCCCTCTCCGTCTTTCCCCTCCGTCTATCCTCTTCTTCATTACGTCTTTCCCTCCACAATTAGCGAGGTTTCTCTCTTGACCCTCTTCCTCTCTCTCCCTTGCTTTCTTTATTCCCTCTTTCGCCTATATACCTTGGATAAACTCGCATTTCTTCTTTATTGGACATGTTACTCTTTGGCTTCCTGTTTCCCTTTTATTTATTTATCTATTTGTCTAAGCGATTAACTTACAATTTGATATGAAATGCTGGAATTATTCGATTTTCTCTCTTGTTATCATCATTATCATTAATTTCATGACTTTTATCATTGCTATAAACAGCTTTGTTATTATTATCTAATATATTACATTCATTCTTGTTCTTCCTTCCATCTCAATCCCTAATTCCGTATAAAGTGTTTTCTCTTAATTCCTCTTTCATTTTTTATCACTATCACCATCTATTTCCTCTTCCTTTGAGTCGTTTGTCTTCTTTTTCTTCTTTGTCTTCTTCTTCTTCTTCTTCTACTCCTCCTTCTCCTTCTTCTTCTCCTTCTCTTTCTCCTCCTCCTCCTCCTTCTTCTTCTTTATCTTCATCTTCTTCTTCGTCTTCTTCTTCTTCTTCTTTTCTTCTTCTTCTTCTTCTTCTTCTCCTTCTTCTTCTTCTTTTCCTTCTTCCTTTTCTTCTTCTCCTTCTTCTTTATCTTCATCTTCTTCTTCTTCTCCTTCTTCTTCGTCTTCTTACCTTTCTCCTCTGTGAAGTAACATTCATTTCCTAATCGCTTTCTCTATCCTTCTTTCTCTCCCTCTCCCCTTTCGTATTTCTTTTTAATCATCGTTTATTCTATTTGCTTCATATTCTTGTTCTCTATTGTTCGTTACTTATGGTTATTACATTTCTGTCACTGTTCCAACTATTGAAAGTAATATTATTTGATTGTATTTGTATATATTTATTCGTTTGTTTACATACTTATTCATTTATTTTACTGTTGTTATCGTTATTGTCGTTCGTAGTGTTGCCATCATTATGAGTATAGTATTTTCTCCATAATTGTGTTGGTCTTTTTTTTTTCGTTGATATCGTCCTCTTTTAAAACAATTACTTTAATAGCCTGGATTTTATTTCTCACTGTGCATTTACATATATATTTCTTCTTTTCTCTTCTTATTTTTAATTCGCATTATACTATCATCTTAATTTCCATTTCTTATTCCATATCAATCTTAATCTTATTTTGTTATTTTTTTGTCATTTTTGTATTGGCGTAAAACTTCCTTTTTCTTTTCCTGCTAAATTCTTGCATTTGTATTTTGCAAGAATGTGTGTGTCTGTGTTTGCTTATGTTTGCATTTCATTTTGTTTATCTGTTTTTCGCTTTCTTTACATCTTAAAGATTTTTTTATATGTTCTCTTCCTTTGTTTTCTCCCTCCCCTCTTATTCACCTCTACCCCCTCCCCCTCCCCTCCTCCTACCAACCCCTATCCCCCTTCCTCTTACTGTCTCTTTCTCCCTCCTTTCTCCTACCACCTCATTTCTCCTTTCTACCATCCCTCTCCCCTCGTCCTCCTACCCCCATCTCCCCTCTTCCTCTCCCACTCTTCTTCATCCCTCTCCCCTATTCCATTTATTCTCCTTCTGCTCCTAACGCCCCTTCCTCCTTTCTCCAACCAACCTACTCCCCCCCGCTTTCCTCCAACAAAACCCTTTCCCCCTTCCTCCTACCCACACCCTTCCCCATTCCTACCTACCCCCTTCTGTCCCTTTCCTCCAACCATCCCCCTCCCCCCTCGCTACCAACCCCCTTCCCCCTTCTTCCAACCAACCT